TTCAGAATGTGTACGAGACGAAGGCGTTGGAGGTATGCTTGTATGAGTCAACGGTGTTGGGTTGGAGCTTGCTCCAGCGAATGTCACATCACGAGATATGACTAGACATTTAGCACTAGTATCCCATATACGGTAGTTGGTTGTGTTTACTTCGTAACCCAATAACTTTCCAGGTGAATATCTTGGTTTGAGCTTATTCGTCTCTGTGTGTGCTCGGAAGAATACCGGACTACCAAAGGGTTGGAGATGTTGGTAGTTAACCGGATGTTTTCTCCATATGTCTTCAGGAACTGAACCATTTGACCTGGGAGCTCTATTCCGAATGTAAGTGGCATACCTTGCTGCCTCTGACCAGAACTGATCCGGTAGTCCACTGTCAACTAGTAGAGTACGAACCAAGTCAAGAATGGATAGATGTGCACGTTCTACTCGACCATTTTGAGCATGAGCAGCTGGTGGAATGAGTTGGTGTTCAATTCCCTTCGTATCTGTATACTTCTTGAATGCTGCTGAGGTAAACTCTCCCCCTCGGTCGCTTCTCAATGATTTGACACGTTCTCCAAGTTGATTCTCTACCAATGTGATATATTGTTGAATGGTAGTCAGTGTATCGGCCTTTGAGTGTAGGAATAGGATCTGAAGATGTTGTGAGAAATCGTCATATACAGTTAGGAAGGTTCGGTAGCCATCATGTGAGGTAGTGCGAGTTGGTCCAAAAAGGTCAAGATGTAGGGAGCCGAGTAGTTTGGTAGCTCGTTGTGTAGAAGGAGGAGATGGTAGTCGCTTGCCTTTTCCCTGGATGCACTGAGCACATACGAATTCATGAGTTGACACATTCTCCCAACTACCCACTTCTCCTAAACGTCCTCCCTTTCCAAGTTTGACCACTGCTTGAATATTTAGATGCCCAAGTCTTCGATGCCATGTCCGGAGGAGTATCTCTGTCGTATTAGACTTGGTGAAGTGTGTTTGCACGGTGGAGAACGTACATGGTAGTGTATAGAGGTCATCACACAGTTTGGCACTGAGAACAACGTTTTCCCTCTCAAGAAGTGTGGCGGTAGTGCAGTTGAATACCCAAGTTTTGGAGGGAGATGTGGTAGCTCGAACGGACAGGAGATTGCGACCAAGTTGGGGAACAAACAGTGTATCTGGTACTTGAAACCCACTTTCAAGAGTGAGGATTCCCATCTTTGTAGCTTCGATTGTAGATCCATTTCCGATTACCACGGGGATTGGTGATGGTAGTGGGCGGACATCGGTAAGAAGATGCACTTCATAAACCATGGAGTGTGAGGCGCCTGAGTCAACAACAATGGTCGAGGAAAGGCCGGTAGCGACAAGTGCGGATGGAGAAACAGTAGCGACAAAGTTGAGAGCGGTGGTAGTGGACAATGGATCAAGAGAGGATGTGGTAGTGGCCATGTGAGCAGCTGTCACACGTTTTGCAGCGTTGCATTCGGTAGTGGAATGTGAATTGGTGTTGTGGAACTCGCAGTAGGGCTTACTACCATCTTTCACTACCGGACCTCGTTCCCTAATCCTCCCAGACCTCTCTTGTCGCACTCTTCCATGTGAAAGCTTTGAGACTTTTGCTGCCAGGGCTAGAGCTCCATTTTCTCGTGTTTGTCTCCTTCTAAACTCGTCGTTGACTGCTGAAATGACGTCAGCCGATGAAGGATCACCAAGCATGTAGAATGTTGAAGCAATGATAGCATAGGATGGTGGTAGTGCAATCAGGATGGCGTAGGCAAGTTGGGAGTCAGCAAGTACTACTGAGGAGGTTGTAAGATCATTGAATGCACGTCGCATAGAGGAGATTGAGGACATAGGATCATCTTCTTCAATATCGGTTCGCCAAATGATACGGTAGAGTTCGGCCTTCCGCGTTGATCGAGCAGCAGAATAGGTAGTACGAAGGTAGTCGAGTAGGGACTTGGCCAGAAGGCCAGATGGTGAAGTAGTTAGGTCGAGAAGGTGGGGTGGAAGAACATTATGAACAGCAGCACTGAGTGATTCGTCAATTGCGGCCCAAGCTTTCTTGTCCTTCCTCAGCCAGCTTTTCCTTTCATCCGCTGGTTGGAGCGGTAGTGCCGCGTCTTTTTCCACCACTTCATCAAGGTCTTTCTGAATTAGGCGAGCAAGGATAGATCTCTCCCAATCTTTGTAGTTGTCAGAGCCGGTGAGGATGATTCGACGACGTGTGGTAGTTTGATCATCCTCAGAGTCAGATGGGGACATGGTGAAGGAATGTGGTAGAATGTCTGATTCCAAATCTGTCGGTAGTGATTGCTAGAGCGGTAGTTACAGGTAAATGTATCTGGTAGTTCTCAGCTCTGTAGAAAGCAATGCATGATACTAATCACTCACCTGGTAGTTCTCAGCTCTGTAGAAAGCAATGAAGAACTACCAGGCAGGAAACAATTTGGTAGTATGAGTCGCTTATCACGATGACGTGTATTTCAACAAGAATTTCTTATGTGGCAGTGTGGGAAAATGGAGAAGTGAGAAAGTTGTGGCTGGATCTCCTATCTCGGACGTCGAGAGGAGAGGAGATCATATCCCACATCATACCTGCAGAACCGTTACCATCGTGTAAGATAGTCTGGTAGCTATCCCTTATGAACCATGTTCTCTCTCACTAACAGATGAGTACTACGTTCATGGTTTTGGGAATATCTTTAGTGAAAGTGCCCTTTCCCAAAGACTCATGCCTGTTCGGGCTCATGACTTTGATATCAAAACACTAAATGTATGATCTGCGGGAGAATTGCTACTATATGTGCAGGGGGGAGCTCAAGACGGATTTAAAAGAGATAGATGGAGAACAATTCGGACCCTCCTCCCGCCCCCCGACTTGACCTGATTTTGACATGCTGCCATTATCAATTAGTTGGATGCCTCTTTGTAGATTGGCATCACTATGCATGGTCTCATCTACCATTAAAACTCTCTTCAACTTCTGGGATTCCATACGAAACTTTGTGTGGTGGGTTGGCAATCTTGCGTTTACCATTCTAATCACCGGCAGTGCGGTCAATCTCCTGTGTAGGGACCAGACATAAGGACACGTGCCCACCCATGTTCAAATGGTTTGTGATCTTCGGTATAGCCCCAGAAGAGATCATCTGGTAGACGGACTGAAATGTTGGTAGCAAATGCTGCGTTACGATCATATTTGTGTTTTATTGTGTAGAAACCAGCTGCTCTCAAATCATTGATACTGGTGTCCATGTGCACAACGTACTTATCATGAAAGTTCAAACGGTGAGGCCATATCCACTTTGCATAACTTGGACCAGATTGCACAGTGTCCACTGAATAGGTTTCACCAGGAACGGCGCAATAAGGGCTTGACTGAATGATGGCACCTCCATGACCGCTTTGAAGTTCCTCGTGCACCTTGTACATGTCTGTCAAAGCGCAGACAAAAGTTTTTTTTCTGTTATCCCAGTGTCTATGCGAGCGTTGTGTTCCCCATACCCAACCCACAGTGCTACCTACCACTATGACAGTAAGTGTTCCCAGCAGGCAGGTGTACACCTGGCAGTCAGGGTTCCACACCTTCCTTCTCAACCGTCGTGCACGGCTAACCGGTACATCAGGAGAGCCTGGTGTATCCGTGGGAGACGTTATCTCATCAACAGGTATATTCACCCTGCTAGACATCACCTCTGAGACAGGTGTCATCTCCATGGCTGATGTTGTCACTGTAATGGTTGGGTTACCACTCTCTGAATTGAATGTAGGCTTTTTGACAGAGGGGAAGAGCGATCGAGTCCAATCAACAAACCAATTGTGTTGAAGTTTCTGTGAGGGTTGCAACAAACCTTCTGTATCATCAGCATGGAAATCAGGGTGAGTGCTGGTACTGGCTATGGATGCAGCCTCATTGTCTGTGATTTTCCAATCAACTTCTGGGTTCATCCTGTGTCAGCCTCAGAATGATGTAACTGGTTGAATAAAAGTCGAAACCGCTATGTGAGGTAGTCTCACAAATTGAATGGCTAGGGATTAGGTGGATAGATATAGATACAAGGAGACAGATGAGAGGGGCTACTCATATATTGTTGACTATGAGAAAGTGTGTGTGAATTTTGCACTGTCCCATGAGATCATCAAAGCTGTGCATGAAAGCAGGATAGGAAAAATCCATACCCCAGATTGGTCCATTCAAGGGTGTACTGCATTGACCGAAGGGACCGGAGGGGGCCGAGTTAGAAGATCCGTCCGGAGGAGTCAGCATGACGTCAGCGAAGTGGTCTCAACCGCTCAAATCTCTCTTGCAAGTTGGTCTTCTGGCTAGACCCGGCAAGAAGCGGTGAGACAGTAGGGTCTGGAGACCTTCTGTGTTCTCTGAAGATACCACAGCTACAGTAAGTTAGGTGATAGAATTGGCCCAAAAAAGCCAGACCATCAGTAGGATTATTTTCTCCTCTGTCACTTTTCTCCTTTGTCTTATTGTCCTCCGAACTTTATTCAATAGCCTCTGGTTGGCTGCGTAGGAGTGGAATATGAAGTATAGAGACAGGTAGATTCACTGAATGCTCCTTTTGCCTCTGTATCATCATCTACCTATCATCAAACACTCACGGGCACCCACTGCATGAGGAACCTTTGGCAAAGACAGTGTAAGACAAGCGGGCAGTCTGGGTGTCATCAAGTGGTGTTTACAACACGACACTTTCCTAACATGAAAATAGCCAACATTCAGTATCCTCTAGGGGTTTAAACTCGTAGCCTCTCTCGTCATAAACTGCATTCCATACGGTCATCATGTCATTTTGGCACAGGGGAGGTACTTAAAGGGACCCAGTTTCCGTGCGATTACTTCCAATGTACCACATAGTCCCAATTAATCTACCAGACGACTTTCTTTTCCTTCTTTCCATGGGGTACGAGTTTCGTCGTAGCCTGTCAAGCCGAGGGGAAGAAGAATCTCGGTCTTCCCTTGGAGAGCTTCTCTTCCATGGATCTGGCGCAGTCCTAAGTCCTGCAGCCTCGAAGTTGAGCCATCCCACATGAAGATCAGTGAGTTCAAGGGTAGCTCGTTTGCATTCTTTTTCGAATGTGGGAAAGGCCAGCGGCTCTTACCATCGGCTTTGAACCCGTCCCCTGTGAGCACCCACATGGGGGTGTAACAGCTCATGTCAACCTCGAAGGTGGAGTTTGCTGGGGTAGTACCATTCTGAACAGACATGATCAGCTCTGTCATCTGCTCAGTCGGTCCAACTTCGCAAAGCCAACTTTTGAGCTTGTGATCATTTGCGTAGTTGATATGACGCTGAATGAAATACGAGGGAACTCCTATGACAGCAGAGACAACAAGCATGCCTCCAAGGAATTTCAGGCATCTTATAGGATCAAGACCACTGTCATAGGGTGGCCATTCCTCACTCTGAGACACGTTGCTGCTACCGGGAGGATATTGATTAGCTTCACCTGAAGTAGGTTCCGTGCGGATTGAGGGTGCAGGAGGAGTCGTTGAACCCACCAAAGTAATTTCTGACGTTGCATCTGATTCGATCTTGCTTACAGGGTCATCTCGGAGGGGCTCATAACGGTAGAATAGCTGGTCTCTGAGCCTGAGGGAAGAAGCAACAATATCCCCTAACTTGTGATGTACATCATCCCAGATGGCAGAAGAGAGAGTGGTCGACATAGCCGCTCAAGTTCTGGTCGGGATGAATCTGGATAGGATGTTAGTTTCTACCCTGAAGGTGGTCTATTTATGTCATGACCATGGGAGAGGGGTTTCAATCCACTGCACTGCCTCTCTTCCTTGGTTCGGAGGTTTGAACGCGGTGCACGGAGAAAACTCCTGTGCCACGGCGGTGCTTGTCCGCCCATTTTCATCCGTCCTTGGCCGGCCCCGTACACCGCCTCGGTCGAAGATCCGGCCCCGAGATCTGCCCTTTACATATTCAAACTTTCCGCCTCTAAAGGATCGGGGGTGTGACTAGTTCAGTAAACGCCGAGGATATGGCTATGTTAGGCCAGCTACCGTTTCTCCAGGTTAGAGGCACAATAAAAACATGCAAAGTGAAATCCGTGCGTCGCCCTGGCATATGTCTAAATTGTATTTGTTAGGGACTTTGTTTTCAACTCTATCTGAATGTTGTTCAGCATTCATCCTCATTACTGATACACAAAAAGGACGTGTTTGGCTTGTTCTCTGTCCACTTCAACATTTCCTTCTCCTTCCCATGCTGAGAGGACTTTTTGTCACTAAGCTGCTCCGGGACTTCTACAGGAGTGACTAATACCAATATCAAAATTCACTTCTCCGAGTAGGTTCTGTTGGAGGGACTGAATAAGCTACGTGCTTTGAAGTTCTTCTCCTCGTTTATTTGTTCATGTCTTTAAGCATTAAAAGTATCATAAGATTTCCACTTTCTCCACCCATGTCACTCTCCGTCTTTACTCCTTGGAGTCTGGTACCACTCCACTCAGGCTCTACTAAGTATGCAGAAGCAGCCCTTTTTCAGTAGGTGTCATGTCAAATGTATTTTCTTGTCTTTCAGCAAATCATGTAGTACGTCACTAGATATGTTCCCCACGAGCCCATACAGCCCACAGCTCATTGACTCAGGCTATCTGGTCCTGGCATCCCCCTTCAACTCTGCACATGATTCCCACGGGCACTTACCACTCGCCTACCACTTCCGCTTGCTCCCCTTTACAATACACAACTCTCTTTCTATATTACATGCCACACATTAACCTACAACATATTTTCAAATAACTGAACTGATGGATTCATTCCTTCTAGGGTATTTGACAGCCACTGTTCATCAACAGAAAAGCACACACTTCTTTCTCTTATATCAGTCTGCATGTAATTCTTGTCTGCTCTCAGTTTCATTGACAGTGCCAATTGGCACAAAGAGGTCTCCGATGTATGTACAGTATTTATATGGCACTGAACCCCTATGGTTACGTGTCAGGATACGCCTTATAGAGAGGCTGAAGACTGCTAGGCAGATCTCGAGTACTGAGCCTGTCAAGGACCCAGCCGGATGTCGGTAGTGATTGCTAGAGCGGTAGTTACAGGTAAATGTATCTGGTAGTTCTCAGCTCTGTAGAAAGCAATGCATGATACTAATCACTCACCTGGTAGTTCTCAGCTCTGTAGAAAGCAATGAAGAACTACCAGGCAGGAAACAATTTGGTAGTATGAGTCGCTTATCACGATGACGTGTATTTCAACACTCCCCCTCGTCACATACTTCCTATTTGTCCTTTTTCCCGTATACCCATGAGTGTCGCCAGTTCTTCATGACGCTCTGCTGGTAGTGCTTTAGTCAAGATGTCTGCAAGGTTGTTTTCAGTGGGGATATAAGAGAGAGTGATATCACCATTCTCTATCTTTTCTCGGACAAAGTGGTAGCGTATGTCAATGTGTTTAGATCGATCATGTTGAACAGGATTCTTTGAGAGAGATATAGCGGCTTGATTGTCGTTTACAATGGAGATACCTTTTGGATGGGGATAACCAAGATTACTTGCCAGATGTTGGAGCCAAATGGCCTGACGAGCAGCATCTGATGAAGCCATGTATTCTGCTTCGGTAGTTGATAATGCGGTAGTGTGTTGTCTTTTGGATCTCCAGCTTATTGGACCGCCAAACCCATAGAACAGAAAACCTGTTGTAGATCGTCGGGTATCTAAACAGCCGCCCCAATCTGCATCGGCGTACCCTTCTATGGAAGACTTTGCATTTGGTAGTGAGGCGTTGTAAGTGAGACACAGGTTGGTAGTTCCAACAAGATAACGCATAAGATGTCGAGCCGCATTAATGTCCTGCCTTGACCATTTGCTTGCAGATCGAGCTAGGAGAGCGGTAGCAAATGCAATATCCGGTCGGGTAATTGTAGCTGCATAGAGCAGGGATCCTACCATAGCTGGAAAAGGTTCATGCTTGACTTCCTCAAACTCGACATTGGTAGTTTCAGTACGTCGGTAGTTAGATGGCAGTGGAGATTGGGCAGGTTTGCTATTTGTCATTCCAAATCTTTCCAGAATTGCCTTGAGGTAGTGTTCTTGTGACAGCTGCAGTGTTTTCAGCTTCCGATTCCTGTATATATTGACACCAAGAAAGTAGCTGGCAGGACCATTGTCCTTGATTTCAAAAGCAGCATGGAGTTGCCTCTTGAATTCATCGAGTTCAATTCGGGAGTTACTAGCTACCAACTGATCATCGACATGTAGTGCAATGAGGATAGAACTACCATTTCTTGAGCGGGAGTAGATACAATTATCGGCCGTGGTTGGCATAAAACCCTGTGAACGTAGCCACTGATCAAGCTTCTTATTGAAACAGCGAGGAGATTGTTTTAGACCATATAAGGACTTGACAAGACGTATGACGCTTCCGGAGGGAATATTGCTACCTTCTGGGGGTTCAAGGTAAATCGTTTCTTCAAGATCTCCATTGAGAAACGCAGCAACAATATCGACAGTATCACAGTGAAAGTCCTGGTAGTTTATGATTGCGAAGAAAAGTTGAATTGAGTCTTTGTGTGCAACGCCTGCGTACAGTTCATGGTAGTCGATACCAGATAGCTGGGAGAAGCCCTTAGCAACCCATCTTGCTTTATAACCTGCAGGTTGTCCGGTAGTTCCATCGATTTTCCGCGTGAAAACCCAACGAGCTTTGAGTGTTCTCCCAGTGACTTCCTTGCGGTCAACTACCACCCAAACTTTGTACTTTTCCATCTTTGCAAGCTCCTCATTGATTGCCTCTTTCCACTGGGTCCAATCCTGTGAGGTCTGCGCTTCATTGAATGATTGTGGTGCGAGTATTGCTGAGTATGCTGAGTACATGATGGAGGATAGGTCGGTGTTGGCTGAGAGGGCAAGTTTATTTTCAAGAGTACGAGGTGTAAATTCTGGAGCAGCTCCTGCTTGACGGCGAGATCTGCGTGGTACTTCCTCCGTATTGTGTTCATCTACTGGTGGTAGTGGAGAGTCTGGTGTAGGTGCCGATTCTCGATTGAAACGTGGGTCCTCCTCTATGGCCCATCCTTGCCATCTTGAGGATTGGTTTGGAGGAGTAATCCTGCCGGGTAGTTCATCAGGATTGGATTGTTGTGTATTTTCTTCACTTCTTTGCTCTTGAATGGTAGTTGGGGTTGGAATATAGTATTCAGAATGTGTACGAGACGAAGGCGTTGGAGGTATGCTTGTATGAGTCAACGGTGTTGGGTTGGAGCTTGCTCCAGCGAATGTCACATCACGAGATATGACTAGACGTTTAGCACTAGTATCCCATATACGGTAGTTGGTTGTGTTTACTTCGTAACCCAATAACTTTCCAGGTGAATATCTTGGTTTGAGCTTATTCGTCTCTGTGTGTGCTCGGAAGAATACCGGACTACCAAAGGGTTGGAGATGTTGGTAGTTAACCGGATGTTTTCTCCATATGTCTTCAGGAACTGAACCATTTGACCTGGGAGCTCTATTCCGAATGTAAGTGGCATACCTTGCTGCCTCTGACCAGAACTGATCCGGTAGTCCACTGTCAACTAGTAGAGTACGAACCAAGTCAAGAATGGATAGATGTGCACGTTCTACTCGACCATTTTGAGCATGAGCAGCTGGTGGAATGAGTTGGTGTTCAATTCCCTTCGTATCTGTATACTTCTTGAATGCTGCTGAGGTAAACTCTCCCCCTCGGTCGCTTCTCAATGATTTGACACGTTCTCCAAGTTGATTCTCTACCAATGTGATATATTGTTGAATGGTAGTCAGTGTATCGGCCTTTGAGTGTAGGAATAGGATCTGAAGATGTTGTGAGAAATCGTCATATACAGTTAGGAAGGTTCGGTAGCCATCATGTGAGGTAGTGCGAGTTGGTCCAAAAAGGTCAAGATGTAGGGAGCCGAGTAGTTTGGTAGCTCGTTGTGTAGAAGGAGGAGATGGTAGTCGCTTGCCTTTTCCCTGGATGCACTGAGCACATACGAATTCATGAGTTGACACATTCTCCCAACTACCCACTTCTCCTAAACGTCCTCCCTTTCCAAGTTTGACCACTGCTTGAATATTTAGATGCCCAAGTCTTCGATGCCATGTCCGGAGGAGTATCTCTGTCGTATTAGACTTGGTGAAGTGTGTTTGCACGGTGGAGAACGTACATGGTAGTGTATAGAGGTCATCACACAGTTTGGCACTGAGAACAACGTTTTCCCTCTCAAGAAGTGTGGCGGTAGTGCAGTTGAATACCCAAGTTTTGGAGGGAGATGTGGTAGCTCGAACGGACAGGAGATTGCGACCAAGTTGGGGAACAAACAGTGTATCTGGTACTTGAAACCCACTTTCAAGAGTGAGGATTCCCATCTTTGTAGCTTCGATTGTAGATCCATTTCCGATTACCACGGGGATTGGTGATGGTAGTGGGCGGACATCGGTAAGAAGATGCACTTCATAAACCATGGAGTGTGAGGCGCCTGAGTCAACAACAATGGTCGAGGAAAGGCCGGTAGCGACAAGTGCGGATGGAGAAACAGTAGCGACAAAGTTGAGAGCGGTGGTAGTGGACAATGGATCAAGAGAGGATGTGGTAGTGGCCATGTGAGCAGCTGTCACACGTTTTGCAGCGTTGCATTCGGTAGTGGAATGTGAATTGGTGTTGTGGAACTCGCAGTAGGGCTTACTACCATCTTTCACTACCGGACCTCGTTCCCTAATCCTCCCAGACCTCTCTTGTCGCACTCTTCCATGTGAAAGCTTTGAGACTTTTGCTGCCAGGGCTAGAGCTCCATTTTCTCGTGTTTGTCTCCTTCTAAACTCGTCGTTGACTGCTGAAATGACGTCAGCCGATGAAGGATCACCAAGCATGTAGAATGTTGAAGCAATGATAGCATAGGATGGTGGTAGTGCAATCAGGATGGCGTAGGCAAGTTGGGAGTCAGCAAGTACTACTGAGGAGGTTGTAAGATCATTGAATGCACGTCGCATAGAGGAGATTGAGGACATAGGATCATCTTCTTCAATATCGGTTCGCCAAATGATACGGTAGAGTTCGGCCTTCCGCGTTGATCGAGCAGCAGAATAGGTAGTACGAAGGTAGTCGAGTAGGGACTTGGCCAGAAGGCCAGATGGTGAAGTAGTTAGGTCGAGAAGGTGGGGTGGAAGAACATTATGAACAGCAGCACTGAGTGATTCGTCAATTGCGGCCCAAGCTTTCTTGTCCTTCCTCAGCCAGCTTTTCCTTTCATCCGCTGGTTGGAGCGGTAGTGCCGCGTCTTTTTCCACCACTTCATCAAGGTCTTTCTGAATTAGGCGAGCAAGGATAGATCTCTCCCAATCTTTGTAGTTGTCAGAGCCGGTGAGGATGATTCGACGACGTGTGGTAGTTTGATCATCCTCAGAGTCAGATGGGGACATGGTGAAGGAATGTGGTAGAATGTCTGATTCCAAATCTGTCGGTAGTGATTGCTAGAGCGGTAGTTACAGGTAAATATATCTGGTAGTTCTCAGCTCTGTAGAAAGCAATGCATGATACTAATCACTCACCTGGTAGTTCTCAGCTCTGTAGAAAGCAATGAAGAACTACCAGGCAGGAAACAATTTGGTAGTATGAGTCGCTTATCACGATGACGTGTATTTCAACACCGGAGACGTTCCACCCCGGAGTCGCACGGTTTAAAACACCCTTCTTGGACCCAGCCGGGGAGGCATGCCACTCTGGAGGGGTCAGACCCACCCAGAGTTATCAATGCTAGTCTTGCCAAAATACTATTCTCTTCAATAAGTATACTGAGTTGACAATTCTTCCCCTTGATGGCACATTGTAGCCCACTCTGAGATTAGTCTGAAAGTGAAACCCCTGCAACAGTTGCTCCCCCATTTGTATGAACATTAAAGACATTGACCCAAGAGGCATGGTGTATTGGTGATGAGAAACAGGTTCAGTTGAGTCATGAGCTGTAAACAATATCATGGGGAATCATCACTCACATGTAAGGGTGTTCAGATCATATGTATCTAGTCTGCTGCACCTGTCTGTCCCCTCCTCATCTCCCCGGTAAGGAGACTCTCTGGCTGGGTCCGTCCAGGGGGTTCGACCACTCCGGAGCGGAACGTCTCCTGTTGGGTCTGATCAGGTCCATGGAGGTCTGGAGCTGTCCATCTCCGGATGTGTCCCTAACAGAGCCTTTCAGCGAGGATGTTATGACAAAGTTCCCTAACTGCACTCATGACATCAGGCTGGCTCAAGGAGGTAGGGTACTTTCACCATTATGATCATAGAAATTATTGTAGAGAGGCAAGACGGTCCGGGGTGGAAAACCCAACCAGTGTCTACCAGTGATTTGACATTGTCAGGAGCCAGGTATGCCTGTGTAGAAGAACAGAAGCGGCTTGTAAGACACAAGTGACAAATGGCCAGAGGAGAAGATGGACAGTACAAGTATCCTATCTGATTGTATGTCGGCCACGTTTCTTATTCCCTTATGGAATATCCTAGACACAAGAGGCACAGCAGGTGCTAATCACAGAATGTCACAAATTTACATCCTCACATGGTTGGTGCACTGCCGGTCTGGCTTTCTACAAGCAAGCTGGCTAGTAACTTAGCCTCACCTCATCATCAACACTTGTCTTACAATCAATATCTGGCGTCTTACTGTATAATACTGTACCAGATCCCTTCTTCAACATTGGTTGATGGAGGCCCTAGCGGATGAGCCGACTACGAAAGGATTGCGGAACTTCATGTGCTTGCACATCTTTTGATGGCCAAAATGTGTCGAGATGAGTATTCCATACTCCTAAAATAGGGCCGATATTGGCGTCCAGCCGCTCTATTGTACAGGTTTGGTCTGTCTCTGGTGTTGTAAACCTCTCAGTCTCCTGTTGGGAGCTGATTCCCACCACAATCAGATCACTATCATCTTTCAAACTAGCCTGTAGCTTCCCCAAAGTTTCTCTACAGCACCAGAAATACTTTCCCGATTGCCCCAATGTTACATGGTAACACATGTAGAACAGTTCCTTATTGACTTTGTTGGGACCAAGATTATCAGATTCCCTTGTAGCCTTGCCCATTGGGTTACTCCACGGCTTACCCATTGACATACTTGCTAGTTTGCTTGATGGAGTACTCCCTATATTGCTCCCTGCCCTTTGAGTAATTGTATAGATCATAGTCCCCAAGACCAAGGAAAGAACAATGGACACCGTAAATTGTCGTGTCCTTCGACACATCCGATTCTTTGCTCCAACTCTGTGGTCACGTATCTTGCGTCTTACAGTCTTCTCAGATTGTGCTACCTTTGAGATCCGTGTCATCAAAGTACGCGGCTTCGACCTGTTGGGCAGACTCAAACTTCCCGACGTTGATGCGTCAGAGACAGTGCCCTCATTTGTCTTAGAGATCACGGCAGGTTTCAAAGAAATCAAGTACATCAGTTGAGTACGAAGAAAGCTTCCGATTGACTCGATTCTCCTCTTACCTTGTGGTACTGCTTCAGTGGCACTGTTAGGTGGTTTGAGTAGAGATTTGCATATGCTAGTGATATCATCAAACTTCAAGTTGGAAGCATTCACCAGTGTAGAATCTGGCCCACCGATATAGAATTTGAATCTCTCGGTACCGTCTAGAGTCCATGACGGTTGGTTCTGCCCTACTAGGGTAGTTGTTTTGTGAGGTCTAGTGGAGGTGCTACTCATCACTGCACTATCTCCGATTGTTTGGATACTGCGGTTGATGCGGTGTCTGACAAGCTAACACGCTGTCGGAAGGTGAGGTAAGTTACAAGAGAGAATGAGGATTCTAACCCACTGGTTGTTACTTGTCAAGTTGTGAACGTGTGAAATGCCCGGTGCAGACCGTGGGACATACTTTCCTCCATTGAATAAAACGTATAAAGGAGATTCTTTTTGATTCAATCTCCCCATCTGTATTTCACACCACAAGCCTGTACATCCGAGTTTGTAGTCCTACAGAATTGGGGATGGAGCTCAGAAGGGGACCACGAATTCACGCTTGAAGTCATGCATGCGTCCGTCCGGCTCACCCCTTCTTGTCTCCCCACTCTTGACCGTCCCCGGATCTCACTCAACTAGCCAGATCAATTTTGACCGTTGACCTGAAGCAATACATCGGGGTCACCTCGGTGTCCTTCATGGAGACATTGAGGGGAGCTGTCGGGTGACCGACGGGATCCGTGACGCCTCAAAGTGTCAGGAGCTCAGTTTGGCCGCCTGAAGATGTGACCCGTGGAAGAAATTTGTAGTGACCCAACTACATGTCTTCCAAACCCAATCCTCATGCATGAACAGGTGGCTGGAGGACTATGAGTACTGCATAGTGCCCATGTTACTTGACCCACGGAAGCCGAGACACTTCGAAGCGTCATGCGTCACAGGGGACAGCGAGACGTACGGAAGATCCGTGCCACTTCGGAGCGTCATGACGTTCTCCTGTAACAGTTTGAAGCGGCGCGGCTTCCGTCGGTCATGTAACATATCGGACTCCTCAAACAGTTTTGAGCGGATGGACGAACCGTTGAGCGGCCGTATGGACAGTCTGATCCACTAATAGAAAAGTCCGAAATTGACAAAGCCAAGGAGGTCTTTATAACATGGTGATGACAGAATAGACTCGATTCCGGAAGCCAAGGAACACATACAACATGATCTACTGAAGGAAACAAGTGTAGAGGAAATGGACGTATCATGTTAGATGAAACCTTCACTGTGCACGGCATTATCCTGCCTGCTCAACTTCAAGGGCTACTCTCCTTGGTACGGGCATCCTGCAGGTTCTCAGACTTGGAAAGTAAGACCGATGTCAGATGGAGGGGAGAGGGTTTGATGTGAAACATGAATCTCAGGAGGTTCAAGAAGGTAGGAGACGAGATGTATCCATCATGGTATCGGCCTTTGAGGAAGGTAGAGTAGAATGGTAGTCCGAGTATCATGTACTTCCCCATCTCTCGGTCAGTATGGCAGTGTTGAGAGAGCGGAATTTGAAACGAATTGGCGTTTCAACCTACAAGGCGGGGAAAGGAAGGAAAATCATAGCAGTGCTAAGAAACGGGATGATCGGGGCTATGTTAGCTACTTCTTAGGGGGCGGGGTACGTCTTACACGTTATAAGAAGATACGGTGCGTTTATCCTGTCATCACAATGTCTTACTTTACGAGGGCTTTCTGGATTGACCGCTTCTTGTCGAAGCGGTACACCACGATTGGCCACGGGGTAGACCCCACGATAAATGACGGGCTCTCATACCCCATGGGAAGCATGCCGTCGATGGGTGACCACGGGGTCCCATCTCCAGAACAACCTCCCGGTGCGTATGATTATCCCCCTGTATCAATAGCCCCCGGGTAGACCCGTTTGGCAAGAGCCTCTTGGATTTTCCTAGTGAGTATGACACTGACTGAACAGATACCTCACCGGCAGATAGACCACACCATTATTGGACTGGCCTTGACTCTGCAACCAACATCTGGGCACGGCGTGTTAGGGACAATGTTACAATTGAGCGAACCGTCTGCGCCTTTGCAATCATAACACTCTCAGCTTTGCTCATCCGGGAGGTAGTGCAGCACAAAGATTTTCAGAGTCAGGTTGGACAGTTGTGTAGTACTGGCTCAAAGAAAGCCAATGACACAGCACAGACAGGTGTAATTGCCTGTTGCTCACCTAATCCGTCATTGTTGAATCCATCAAACACACCGGAAGCTTGGGAGAAGGGTGCCTCCATCTTCTGGACAGGCGGTAAGAGAGGGGTGAGGAGTGTCAGGAGGTATAATGTGCATGATATTGAGGCTAGGAGAAGTACTAGCCACCATACTGGCAGTAGTGGAGGAAAGAAGACATCTAAAGCATCCAGCACAAAGCCAAAGCCCCAAACTCACCTGGGCGGCTGTGATTTGCACCATGTCAGCTCTGCCCCAACAGGAGTGCAGATTAATGAGCAACTCTTAGAACAATTAAGACGTTCACTGTCCACTCAAGACATGACAGCCCGGGATGTACCTTCATCTGCGGACTTTGGGTCAACAGCCTACTACAGAGATGCATGGAACAAAGATCCAAGGGGGGATGATGAGATCTCACAGACCTAGCAGTATAGGATTTACCAGCTCTGGGCAGATGCTCCTCATTATTATTGTTCTAATCCAATACTCTGCTTTGGGATCACAAGTGGAGGCGTGTAAACCCCCAGCTATGTCACTGAACTCATTCCAAACTGTATTACACTTGGTGGAGTTTGACATGTACATATGTACTGATAGTGAGTTTGTCATGAATTGTGTGATCAGGAATCTGACTGCTACTCAGAATAGTGACAGGGAAATATGACTTATGCTAGGATGTGTTGTAATAAACATCTCCAGGGTATTTGGTGTAGCAGCAAAACAACATCAATCCAAGTGGGAGTCACATCACATCTTGTGATCACTTTCCTCCCATCAGAAAAGGTTTCTTTGAACATCAGCTTGTCATCAACAATCCTCATATCACAAACTTCACTACCCCCCACAGGTACTAGAAGACTGACCTTGTCCCCAACAAAGTTAGTCAGGTAGGAAGGGAGGATTAAACACATGTCACGAGGACCAACCAACCAGCATTGCCTTGATATAACAGTGCCCAACAGAACAGTGATGTTAACCACTGCAACAAACAGGCCTGTTAATTGGTGGTTAACCCTACCGCCGATCGCTGGTTAAATACCCTTCCCCGACTTTTGCTCGACTTGTCACACGCTTTGTGACAACAACGTAAAGGAGCCGCAAGTGCTTGCTGATATTAGAGAGATGATAATACAGAGGGGACAAAGACCATGCATCAATTCTACATGTCTCTATACTTATCACATTCTGTTACAACAGAGAACTAGGCAGTGACCAGACCTAACTTCAATGGACGACGGCGACCAAAGACGAAGTGATAGCATAGAGTGGATTGGACGATAATGACAAGCACCTCAGTGGTGAACATGTTATGGCTTACGTCACTCAGACAAAGAGGGATGAGTAGAGTGAGTGGCAAAGTTATGGAGAGTAACTTATGAGAATCCATTGACTGAGGGATAGGAGCAATTTCAGTGCCCCTATGTAGACCTCTGTCTCTACCAAACTACAAACTTGTTACGTCCGTCAAATAACTTCTTTTTGACGGACTGACGATCGACAAACCTCAGCCAACTTGATACTTCGGGTTCGATGTCTCACCCAACAAAAGGGTGCAGACGTCAAAAGGGGTGTAACTACGGCGTACTTCGACGTAGTTACTCTAACTAGGGTTTTGGTTTACTGATGGCAATGTATCTCAATTTAAGTGTAGCTATCTCTATCTATCTTTCACTACTGACAACAATCAAGGATTGCTGAAGAACTTCAGCGATCTTCTCAGCTAATAATATTTACTCCTCCTAGATCTTCACCCAACCCTCTCGCGCTTAGACGTACTTCAACGCACTTCGTCCAACTTCCCCGAGCCCTCGGCCGTCCTTCTCCTCCCTTCGTCTAACTCCGCCTAACATCGCTGCACTTCTGTTCCCATTGTCCCTAGTTCACCTAACTCTGCATAACATCGCCGCACTTCTGTTCCCATTGTCCCTAGTTCACCTAACTCCGTCTAACTTCGCCATACTTCTGCCCGCCATTGTCCCTAGTCCACCTAACTCCGTCCAACTTCGCCGCACTTCGCCGTCCCTATGCTCCAGATGCCCGTACACCTTATTCCCCCGCTATACTTAGCCGTAGTTGGTCTCAGATGTCCTGAGTTACGTGTAGAGTGGAGTGGTTTAGATGTAATAGGGGTTTGATGGTCAAAGGAGGTCGTTGTTGGTGGGATGATTGGGGTGTCACAACGTAGTTTGTGACATGTCAGTAGCGAGAGATATATTCAGTAGCTACAACCTTCAAGTCAGGGAGAGCTACCACCCAGCAGTTTGACGCCACGGTGAAGTTAGCCGCAGTTCATTGACGATCACCTTATTGTTTACCACTCGACGTATTACCGTGGCATATTTAGCCGTAGTTCCCAGAGAAGTACCCTGTCTCAGTGAGACATCGACACCTCAGTACAACATAGTTAGCCGAGGTTTGTTGACCGTCAGTCAGTAGAGAAGAAGAACCGACGTTTGTGACTGAAGAACTGTGGAGCATACTGTGAAAGTCCATACTCGTGAATGAAATTGTTATCAAGGGCAGAAGCAACGGTTTGACTATGTGGAGCACCCCCCTTATTCACCTGATCTGACTCCTATCGAAAACTGCTGAGCCTACCATGAGAGGAGACACAGGTACCTGCAGACAGTATATAGTACAATCAGCAAAGTACCAACTTTGCTGATTCTTCAATATCATTCTTTGGCTACATTGATTGCAGAGGAGACACAATCCATTAGCACCAGAGACACCTAGACTTCTACGAGACTTCCATGGAGTTCAACCCAACCTGCGACTTAGTCGTCGTGTTTCCAGTACCGTTACAGTACCTTACCTGGTAGTCGTACTCCATTTTCTATTCCCGTCCCCGTCTCCATTCCCGCGTCCGGGCTTACTCCGTTTGGTACTACGCCTGGTACCAATCCTTCAACACCTCTACCCTTCTTTACATCTCCGTCTCGGTAACTATCATCGCTCTTCCTCTGCTATTCTACCTCAACATTATTACAAACCATGCATGCTCTTCATCGGTATCATCCCGCTTGTTTTCAGTATATAGATGTAGTCTTTTCTCAGCAATGTCTTGTCGAATGTATTTTGTGTTTTCCTAGTTATATCATTTGACATACATCTCATCGATCTTACAGATCTCTTCAATACACTACATCACTAGGTTTGTTCCCTACAAGGCCTCATTGTCACAGCTCATCGACGCAGACTATTCCAACGTCTGGTCCTTACAAGACTCTTGACCATGACCCATGGAAGAAGCGCTCCTCACTAACAACCATTAATTTGAATAATCACACCTTTTGTTGAAGAGATGTAAGGGGCTGTGTAAAGGTACTAGAGCAATTCTCTTCTTGACATTTTCCATGCATGAGTTGAAAAAAATGTGGCAATTGATCCGTGATAATACACCAAAAGAGAGGTGAAACATGCATCTCTTGCTGGAATTTCTGGCTCGACATTGTTCAATGGGGCTTCACTCATCTAGTCATGCCTGAGAATGGGGTCTGGAAGATATGCAGTCCAGTTGACATGTATTCTTCTGCGGGTCACATCTTCCAACGGTCATGATGTACCCCATGATGCCCGGAAGCATCACGGATTCTGTCGGTCACCTAACACATGAGAGTCACAAATGGACTGGTTCTGACAATGTCACACCATGGCCCATTGACACTTCCAGAGGTCCGCTGCTCCTCTCACCCTTGGTGTGCAATGTTGACCATTATTAATTTCCCCTCTTGAAGTGTACCCAATTTGGAGGAAAGTTGTTCCAATGATGTAGCAATAAGTGTGCAAGTGTCATGAATCAACAACTCTGCTCTTGTGCACACAAGGTAGAAAGTCCAGGTATCAGTTTCTTCATGTTTAGTTCTGCTCTTATGCCTTCAAGGCAAGAGACCTGAACCTTCAGTTAGTTAAGTTATCCTCAGTTAGTCTGCCTGGTATGGCATTAGACCCAAGACTTCAGTTTAGTTAGATTCAGGGTGAACGTATGGTTTACGTCGTCCTGCGTGCTTCTGCGTGTGGTCAACAGCGTATTGTACGCATCACGTCGCAAAGACCACGCAGCTTTCTGATTCATGGTTGAATATACACATGAGATCGAGGATCACGACTCTTTCCTACGCAGGACGACGCACATCCCAGAATGGACTCAGAAATAGATATAAACCCCATATAGTTCTTACATAGTTTCTTTTCTTCAGCAATGTATCTTTTCAATTCTCTTAACCTCGTTTGATAAGTCACTCAGTTGGTTCTAACCCAACATCTCAGTCTCCTCAGTATCTAAGGCAGTCATCAAGCTCTACGAGCCAGAGACTAACACCCCTCAGTATCTAAGGCAGTACTTTGCTACCGCAGTCTACCCGCAGGCGTGACAGCAAGCCATGTGAACCAGCTGCGGGAAATCATGCATCTCAAGACTTCAGAACACCTAACTACACATTGTGTAGGCTGCAGACTGACTCAAAGCCTCACTCATTGATCTCCCCAACAGCACCACCATCACTGGGCTCCTCTTTCAAAGTATACCATTTTTCTCCAACCTTCAACATTGAGTCTTGTTCCCCAGTTGGTGAGCCACGACCAAAAGGGGCTATGGGTTTCAACGTCCCCTTTGTCACCTGACCATCAACCAACATCCAAATTGGACCTTCTTCTGCATCAAGAAGGATTTCTGACATCAGTGAAGGATTAATCATAGTGCAACCCCCCTCAATGCCCCCTCTTTGATTCTCAGAGACTAACCACTTGATGCTACTTTGTGTACAACCTTCTGACGTCATTGCGACATTCTGCCCCATGTCTAAGTCTGTTTGTTCCCTGGTCACTTGTGTCAAGATTCCCTCCTGACGCTCACTGTCCCACACCAGGACCGACAACATATTGTCCACATCTTTCCCTAGGTGACCCAATGAACTTGTGGAAAGCCGTTCAGGGTCAAGAATGTGTTCCATATCTGCACCAAGTGTGCGCCTATGGATGTTGGTGCCATTTATGGAGCTCTGCAGATGCTTGATTGCATCCGCAATTGAATCGGTTCTCACAATCAAAATTGCACCCATAATTGTGAGGGCCACACTCATCAGACCTGTTATGGCCACACAGAAGAGCGTCCCACTGTTATCCTCCTTTTGCACTTTCAGCTCCGAATTGATGTTTGTCACTGCATCACGACCTTGTCTCATAATCTGCATAAAGTCAAGCTGTGACACTGTCTCGCTTGTTGAAGGAGCGCCCAAAAGCTCTTCTTGTGAATTCCCGTGGTGAAGGGTATCATTGAAGGCATCTGTGAGTTCCCGAGCGCTCTGAGCAGGTCTGATTGAGCCGTCTCCCACCCAGTGAGTAGGCACTTGGGTTTCTTCACTGGATGCAGACCGTTGTTCTTCAAGTGGTATAGCATCATAGCCTTCACGCAAAGCCATGATTTGTTGTCGGAACTTTCAAGCTTGGAGATTATATCAATTGTCAGGTAGCAGATATGCTTCAGAGTTACATTTGTCTCTTCACCCCAATCCTTATATAGACATCATCTCTCTTTTCCCCAAGTGATATTCTTCCCACACTTTCATAGCCCTCCACATCTCCTTTATCCGATCTCGAAATCCTCGAATCTCTCGTTTTCCCCGCCCATTCCTCCATCCGTGAAGGGAGGATCATTTAAAGCTGTGTTATGGACTTCCCATTGGTAGAAGGTAAGAAGTAAGCTGTGAACTTGTGAACCTGTGAACCTGTGAATTGCACTGTTTTCTTTCTGAAAAGTCAGAAGAATAATATCTAGATTCATAAATCCTGTGTTGAGGAAGAATGGATCGTCTAAGAATTCGAGATTTTCAAACTTGTTTGATGATCCGTGCGTTTTTCTTATCACCGTTATCATATCCGATGTGGACGGACTAAGAGTTTTGACGGTCTAGAAATCTATCGAATATGTAAGATACTGTTTGAAAGAAGATAAGTCATTTATTCCTACTGACCGATACTGGAGATTCAAAGAGTTATGGTATGAATAGAAATGAGGAGATAGAAATTGTAGGTGATCCTCATGCCAAAGGGAGAATTTGACTCTTTACGTAGTTTCTTACAATATCACTTTTGATTCAATCTTATCTTTTCAAGATATTTATTCTTCTCCATACTCTTTCGTCTCACCTCCGTGTGGATTTTTCGGTAAAGTGCAATGAACATCCATATAATAGAAGAAAAAGGGAAGTAAATAATTATAAAACCACCTCTACTCGTACGGTATCTCCACTCTTTCCTGACTCTTCGACATCCTCTTCTCCCTCTTCTGCCTTTTCTCCGGTAAACAATCCAACTCCAGCTTTCCTAGGTCCTAGAAGAACTTCAACAACTGTCAAATTACCTTCCTCACCATCCAATTCTAAAACTTTACAGTTCTTATCCCATTCTGATCTTCTCCCTCCAATATCTTTAGAAAGTGTTAAGAATCCTAATCCATCTTCTGTCCATATTTCTGAACCTTTATCACCATCAGCAGGAAACCATTGTAAAGAACTTGGACAACATAATCTAACACCACCTTCAATTCCATAATCTTTTTCAGCAGTTTGATTTGTTTTTTCTGAACCTGGAGCGCAGACGTAAAGTGTTGGATGTGTTGGAAGAGTAGCGAGATAAAGTATATAACCCCAAGCGCCCACTGCACTTAGAGTAGCTACAACAGTGAAAATTGTTCTCTTCTTGATGCGTGATTTGGATGAAGATGTGTGATTCCAATCATAGGATTCATGGACCTGATCGGAATTTCCTTTAGAGCGAAGATGAAAGAAGTGAGAGAAACGACTTTGTTGCGATTGGGTTGGATTTGTTTCTGGGTAATTGGGAGATGGGTAATCAGATGCTGTCCATTGGCATGTCGTTTGGTATGTCCGTTCAGGGATTTCTACTCGTAATGTATCATCTTGGTCTTGAGTTGAATTATGAGTTTCTTCTTCAGTCCTAGGTTTGGAAGATTTGCTAGAGAAAGATGCGAGGGACCATTCTGTGTTATTGTACTTGTACTCTCACTTGTTAATGAATATCAGATGTGTCAGTTGAGACTGGCTTGATTTGGATGAATAAGATGATTACCTACGATATCAGTGCACAGATTCGGGCGGTATGAGCACAATATGAATCGATGATTGTAGTGGGATATGTTGAGATGACAAAGTCGGCTACGGGGGAACGAGAGGGATACGAAAGAATCGAGCTTTTATAAACTCCCCCTTGCCCAAAACCCCTCACGTGTCTCACCTTTCCTGTTCATCGCCACTCTTCCACGAACAGTCATTCCCTATGGGTCATCGATAAGCGATTATCAAGATCCTTTGATATCAGCTGCGACAAGCGAGACACATGGTCTGGCTTAGACGACGTCAGAGGAAAGAGGATATCACCGATGTGAATATGGTGTTACACTCATATGAAACTTGATTCATATTCATGCTAAAACAGCTTCACAAGCGATGGACTCGAAGACGAATGGATGGGATGAGTACGAGTTTCAGCTAGACGGAGTCGATCTCGTTTGAGGATGTCAGTCTTTCCTCAAAGGGTCATTCACCTACTCAGGTAAGAGTGAGTATACGTGTATTACATATGATGAGATTGTAGAGGAGGACATGGAACAAAGAGGAGTAGAACAAGCGTGAAGACATGATATCACATGATTTATGATCGGTCATTCTGGATCGGAGGCGACGTCGTCAGAGTCTATGATATCGTCGTCATCTATTCGTCAGCAAATGTGTTCTTGACTCGTCACGTTTTTTTAATACTTGAATATGTAGTTGTTATGAATGAAAAGGAGCGCCTTGCTATACTTTGAGCCGAAGGGGTAGACGGAATGACTTTGATAAGGGATCGTTCTGTGAACATGTAGGAGCGAAAAATCAGATGCGGAGGGTAGGAAAGAAGAATTCCATGGAACGAGCATGACACGACTCAATGAACCAGTGATGACCACTCTTTGTACTCACCATCTACCACATCTCCTCGATCAGCTATCAAAGATTCTGCCTCTGCTGTCCGTATTGCTTGTCTCACCTTGCCATCATCGGATTCAGGGGAAGGGGAAGGAGGAAGTAAGTCTATAGGTCTTTCGCCATGACGGTTTTTGGTTCTCGTCATCAGCCAATGGTCTCGAATGCTCTGAATGTTGGGAATTTTGATGAACAATGGATGATGAAGTGTAGATATGAAAGGTGAGAGTAGTGCTAGAGAAGGGGGATTTGGAAAAGACGAGGAGAGGGCGGAGAACTGTAGGAGAAGAAAAAGTGAGAACTGACGTCGTGCTTGCACCTGCTTCTAATAACGAGACGACTGAAATCAGCTCTTCTTCCCCTCTACTCAATGCAAACTATGTGCACGGTATCTCTTTCCCAATGTTAAATCAAGGGGAGAGTCAAACCTCGCTTTTGCCACGCGAGGAAAGATGGAGTGGTGCGGGAGGTAAGCTGACCGCTTGTGTCAAGCGAAGAGAGGTTGAAGTGCTAAGGGAGAGATGACAAAATCCCACTTCGCTCCATCTTGTCGAGGGAGGGGGTGAGGGGGGGGGGGAAGAGTGAAGTGATGGCGGAGAAAAGAGAAAATTCCACTTTGACACTTCGGGGTGAAGTGACAAGGACGAAGAGCACGAACAACTCCCCAACATGTTTACTCCACCGGAAAAGACATTCCAAGTGACGAAAGCGATCAAAACGCAACCGTCCTCCTCCCCATATCCCTTAGGTTCAAGAACGGATTGAAAACAATAACTCACCTAAATACAATCTTAAACCCGGTTGATCCTCCCATTTATTCCTAACAGCAATATGTAAAGGTGTTTCACCTTGTAACCTGTTTTGCAAATCCACATCGCATTTCTCATGATCTAATAAAAGTTCTAATACGCCGGTGGAAGCTTTCATGATTCTGTCAATCAATCATTTTGTTTAGCTTTTTACCCCCAGATCTGATTACGGGGCTCTAGCGCTGTAGAACAGAACACTTTTTGGAAAGAATATTTTAAACTCATGACGAGGTTGAAGAAGAGCCGTGATTGCGTAGAACGACTTTTTAAGACACTGCTGAGATCACGAGGGAGATTCTTTTAGGGACGCTTTTGCGGTGAAACATTCCCGTGGGAGGGTTTTTGGGACCAAGACGAGATTTGCGGGGAGATTGCGTTTGAAGTGAATGTGGTAGAATGGACATGGGGGTGACCAAAATTAGAGACTCACGCATAATGAAGAGCTGTGTTACCTAGTCTAGTTTGTCAGTCGGTACATCCTTGATTACCATGAAGTCACTTTGGTGGAATGGTCTGAGAGTGTCTGTTGACAGTATGGTGATGAAGACGATTTGGACCACTACGACACTGGAGTAGAAAGAAGAACGACAATTGGACAGTTGACGGGGTAGGGAAGAAGGTGTCAGTGATAGGAGAATACGAATAGGAAGACATACCCGTCAACATAGTTAACGTTCTCCACTTTGTTCAAAGCGATCAAGAACAATTCTTCATTATCCGTCTTTGCAGCAGCTAACAATTGTTCGTCTCTTTATCAGCTCTACTTGTATAGGACTCTTGAATATAGCGTTCCGTTCTTGCAACCTTCTTGACATTCCATGATTATCAAGATATCTTGGGTTGGGTGAAAGGAAGTAGATAGGCAGTAGGGTATGACTTACAAGGTGAAGCTCCTTGTTCTTCCGTTGGTGGTGGTGGTGGTGGTGGTGGTGGTGGGGCAGATCTGACAGGTGGACCCATTTGTAGTACCCCTCTTTCCTTTATGTATTGTCTACTGTCTACTGTCTGGCTGTGGGGTGAGTAGGTCGTCGGAGTAGGGAATGTAAGTAATGATGTAATGTTGTAAAGAGGAGGGGGAGGTATCCTTTGAGTGAATATCGTTGCTACACTTGCTCCTTCCGTCATTCATCATCCACCTCTCTCTTCTTTACACTTTCTATCACTTTCACATACATATCCTACGACAATATCTAAGGGTCAAGTTATCGAATCAAGTATATCACACTCATACTGCATATAAGGAACAGAACGGAAGATATCATCAGTACGAGATTAGATACCAAATACTTATAACATGTCACAACATCCTAGGTTCACAGAAGATTTACCTTCTATCCATACTCCACCCGTAGAAAAGGTGGAAGATGGTCAAGAATCAAGAAGAAGTTCAATCTTCAATTCTCAAGGTCCTATTCCTTTTTCCAAGTGAGTAACTCTCTTCTTCCCCTGTATCATTGATATCTTCGGGTGAGGGGGAGAGCAAGGGGTGACTGCCTTTGGGAAGTATCTCATGATACACCCCTTTCTTTCAATCCAATCATCATTTCACCACTCACATTTATGTTCTCTCTATACCCTTGGCCCGTTCTCTTGCCCCAGAAATTGACCGATGTCACATATTTGGTGAATACCTCATGAGATCTCACCCTTCTCAGCGTGCACAATGTATCGATTGACTGAGCTTGTCCTCTTCACACATGTTACCACTTAAATGATGACGTGAGATAAAGCTCAAGTTGACCCGTCAGACCTTCAACACCAGTACCAGCACATGATCAATTCGCTTTCTTAGGTCTAGGAGCTATGGGTAAACGTATGGCCGTCAACTTGGCTAAACATTTACACGAAACGGGACAACCTCCTTTGATAGTTTGGAATAGAAGTGATGGTAGGATGAAAGAATTTAAGATTTATGCTTTTGAGAAAGGTTTAGGAGAGGATTGTTATTTGGTGGTAGAAGATTTAAAACAGATTGGTGAGACGTGAGTTGTTGTTTTTCTTTTTGGAATGATCATATCCTCTCCTCTCATTATTTCACCTTTGCATTCCCTATCATCTCGTTTTAAAGATGTTCATCTCGATTCACACTTGGAAATGTCTGTGTCTTTATCAAAGATCGATCATACTCTACTTGATATGAAAATATCACCTTATGACTCCATCCCTCCCATAGGTTCAGTTTGGTGGGGAAGTAATTCTCCTCTACAACTCTATTCCTCCTTCTGTGAACCTTTCCAACGTTATATTGCAGGTATCAACACTCCCATACCTTTTCAGCGTCGATCTTTCCAATCTTGTCCTAGGTATCTGACATTTATGTCGTAGTTTTTTCTTGTCTATTGGCGTGGAGCTGACCTCAGCGCCGACATAATCCTCACTTCTCTAGCATCGGACGAAGCTGTTCAAGAAGTTTATGCGGAATTATTTGCAGGTCAAGAAGTACAAGAAGGTAAAGGTGATGGGATATTACCTGGTGGAAAAGGTAGAAGTACTATTTTCGTCGATACCAGTACGGTGAGTAGATTCTTCTCTTGTCTTCTCTTCCTGTTCCTCATTTCCCATTCTTATTCTTTCCTTTCCCCTCTTCTTCCCCATTCTCCTTTACCTCTCTTTCCCCTCTTTCTACCTATCTTACTATTCACCCTCTTTCTTCCCTTCAAGAGCTCATAAAATAACGTACCCCTCCCCCTCCTCGCCTCCAACCACCTTCACCTCACAAATCATCATCGTATATCAACCATTTCTCCCCTTTCTCATCCTCATCTCCTTGCCCATCACACAAAGTTTAAAGGTCGTCTAACTCTCCAAAATCCATCGGAACTAGCATTTGAGGATCGTCACAAATAAACCGCACACACTGACCTTAGATATACCCAACCACAGCGGGTCGATTAGAACGTCTAGCATCTTCCCGTTCGCACAGAGTTTTCCTATCATGTCCAGTCTTCGGAATCCCAAAAGCAGCAGAAACTGCAGATGTCATTCTTGCTATTTCTGGTGATTACTTTGCTAAGAAACATGTCGCACATGCTTTAGTACCTTGTATAGCTAAGAAGGTTATGGATATTGGATCTGATGTTGAGAGAGCTATGGCTTTTAAGTGAGTCTCTATTTTTTTTTCTATTCAATCTCCACTTCGAATCATTGTCGGATCCTTGTGTATAACCAAACATGAAACTCTCTGATCTAAGTTGTGGTTTTTTCATATGTTTGTTTGAAGTAGAAAGGGATTTTGACTAATTCCAGACTAGTAGGAAACGCATTAGAACTTGGTTTCGTGGAACTTTTAGCTGAATGTCTCACTCTATGTGATCAAGCAGGTGTTGGGTCGGATAAATTAGTGGAATTGATAAAAGATCAACATACGAGTCCTACTTTGATCAGATACGCAGATAGGATTACGAAGAATTTGTTTGATTCTGAAGGTGGGTTTAATTTAGGTGGAGGTGTGTTGGATGCTCGGTGGGTTTTAGTTTTTGTTTTTTTCTACCATACTCAATTCTTCCAATGTTTACTCGCTTCCTCCGCATCGAACGTTACCATCAAGAACAGGGTATATCTTCTCGTCGTAGACAAGATGAGATGGTATCATCTTCACACACATATCTAATTATCTTCACTTCGTACTGGACGTCGGATTCATCATACCCCACGCTACTGTATTACACTCCGCGATGGTTTATCACACTTGATTCTGGTCTATTATATCATGCTTCTCACAAGAAATATTATCCTGGGCTGGATATGAGAAGTGAGAAAACACGACGTACATTGACACCCTCCAGCCATATCCGACAACTTGCAGAATCACACAACGTCCCAATGCCAGTCATGGACGTGGCTCATCAACACATGTATCCGCCAGGGCGCATGGAGGTGATATGTTAGATTGGACCGCTCTCGTCGGAGGACAGAGGATTTCAGCTGGGTTGGAACCTTTCGCTGGGAGGAGGAGGTTGAGAGGTATGAGGGTGAGTGGGAGTTGACGTAGTAAGCTGATGGTGTCATGTCGCTGTCATTCCATTTGTTTGGAAATAGTGAGAAATGCTCTGAGTTGGGAGGAAGTATATGGGATGAGATGTGTGGTGTGGTGTGTGGTGTGAATAATCTTCACCCTCTGTGGATGGTATTGTATAAAAGGAGGAGGTGAGGAGTTGACGAGGTGAGGATGGAGTGATAGTGAGATGATCAAACGATGCAATCTGACCTTTCTCCGTACAACTCTTTACCGTCTTAGAGTACTCTACTCGGATAACATACACGTTGGACTATGTCTTATGTCTCCACCCACATCTCTCTTGTGTTTAACGTATAACCCAACATCTCTCTTCTCTCTGATCATCTGACCCCATGAGCTGTACAAGTGCTCTAGAGTACAGCAGTATATAATTGAAGAGAGAAGGGTGAAAAGTGGCACCGCCACAAACCGGCAATTCGGCGAAAGAAAACGTATATATACCCCGGGGGGTGTTGACTTCTCTCCTCTTCTCCCCTCTCTCTCTCCTTCTTCTTTCTCACCCTTTCTCTTCTTTCTCACCATACTAACCTCATAACATACTTGCATACTTTATCCAATTACTTCTGTCTATAGTATACAAGTCATACAAGTTGACTTTCAATCACTTATCTCCTCACATCCGACTAGTGAGGGTGAATCGGATCAGTTGGGGAGTTGGAAAGTTGGTGTGTGTTTTTGCCACACCTCGGTCGTCTTTCTACTTGTTTTGATATAATCGTCCCTGTCATCATTTCCACTATTACACCAATTTTACCAGTAGCTATTAAGTGATAGTGGTAAAGAAGGAGTACACTCCGGTTCGGAGTTCTCACAGTCGAATCTGTGGGATTCTCACTTGTCCGATTTGAAGGATAACTCAACTCTCTTCTTTGGACAAACTATCGTCGGAAGACTTTTTATCATCATCCCCTTTTCTCTATACTAGATCGACCCTTTCCTTATATATTAGATCGACCCTTTCCTTATATAATAGATCGATACTTCTATTCTATTCTATAGTAGACAGACAACACCACTCTTCTATATTATCGGTATCACGACACCACTCTTATCATCCGCGTTAGACAACCTCCTTCCGTCAATACTCGGCCAACACAATCATAGAACAGAACCAAAAGACTCAAACAAAAATGTCTGGTCTAGCTTTACCTACCAATTTCAGAAATTTCCAATCTCAACCTCAATCCCAAACCCAACCTCAACGAACTCCACAATCAACCCAAACTCAACAACCTCAACAAACACAACAGACACAAGGTCAGACATCCACTCAAACGATCAAAAGAAATTCAAATCTTACGGGCAATGGAACACCTACCAACGTTCCGGAAATTACGGCTGTACAGGGTTTGGTACCTACTCTACAGTGAGTATCTTTGTTTTTTCTCACATGAATTTATGACCCCTCATTATAATGTGCTATAATCCTCTGGGACGATTAGTTTCGCTCTTCTTGTGATTTCTCAAACTCCCCGTGTATAGTGGATAATCTCACGAGTTGTGCACATCGTCGATATCCAATAACTTGTATTTCGCATCTTGTAATTTGTATCGTATGGTCGTTGATATCATGACAACTGAATTCACCATGGTACATTAATCCGGATCTCCACCCAGACGTTTAAGAATCTGTCGACCGCACGCTTCGTGACCTGATATCGTTGTAAGGCAGACTCGCTCATTACAGAAACATCGTAGCTACTGTCAACCTTGAGTGTCGTTTGGATCTCAAGACGATAGCTTTACATGCTAGAAATGCAGAGTATAATCCTAAAGTGAGTTTTCCCCCCTAGTCAATCACTCGTACATACCCTATGACGCTCTCTATCTCTACACGTCCTGTCTAGGAATCTATATGCCTTGTCATTATACCATCACTAACGCATCAGCGTTTCGCTGCCGTAGTCATGCGAATTCGAGAACCTAAAACAACCGCACTCATCTTCGCCTCTGGTAAAATGGTAGTAACAGGTGCCAAATCCGAAGATGATTCTAGACTAGCTTCTCGTAAATACGCACGTATCATACAAAAACTCGGTTTCGACGCTAAATTTGCGGAATTTAAAATCCAGAACATCGTTGGAAGTTGCGATGTTAAATTTCCTATCAGACTTGAAGGTTTGGCTTATAGTCATGGTGCTTTCAGTTCGTATGAACCAGAGGTGGGTCAGGGTTTGACATGACTTCATTCCTCTTCCTGTATCCCACTTTTCTCTCCTATGATCAAGTCTTGGTAGTCTCGTTGGACAGCTTCATACTCTAAACCTCTCTTTGTGATCTCATTCCATGTTTCGCTTCACTTTTTACTCCTTCCCATGGTGCCTTTTCCCTTTGTGAATGCTGCAGTTTCTCATCGACAAGTGCTCTGCTGTGGATGACACCGCTGACCTCAGCTCTTCCCCGGACTCATCTACCGTATGCTCAAGCCTAAAGTCGTGTTGTTAATCTTCGTATCGGGTAAGATCGTGTTGACCGGTGCGAAAGTGCGAGAAGAGATTTATATGGCTTTTAATCAGATTTACGCCGTGTTGACTGGTGAGTTGTTTCTCCTTCCCTTTTTTTATCACCCTATTCATATTCTCCCTCTATCTCACTTGAGATATTGTCCCAACGCTGACGAATAGAATTCCGTAAAGATCAAATCAAACCATGATCCCTAATTCCGCCTTTTCATTCCCATTTGGACCTGTTGGTCTATCCCACTGTATCACTCTCATCTCCTTCCCCCGCGATGTGACATGTACACCTCCACTCGACCCTCGTGCTACACCCCCCACATTAACCACTCACCATCCACTCACTCTGCGTCACATATTGTTCGAAATCCAACCATCGTAGTTCCTCCTCCTCTCGTCTCACCTTGGAGCCATTCCATCCATTTTATGCCAGTTGTACTGTATTCCATATCACCCATGTCTTTCTCTTTAGTACTTTCAGATCTGTTTCTGGAATGAACCAGAATCAAAAAAGAAACAGTTCAGTAGTTGATCGTAACGTTCCGATGCATGTCATTTGCATTTTCTTTCAGATTTTCCCGTTGGCCGCGACCTTTTTCTCTCCCAACTCTATTCTCCATCCTTCAACTTTCATACTTCATCTTCACTCTTGTTTTATTCTTCATCTCTCAATTTGCCCTGCAAGTCTATTCTCTATCATATGTTCCCCCCTCGTATCTCCCGACCGTCTCACTTTACTCGTACATATACCACTTATGAACCGCAACAGTCAAGGTGCAGAGTCAAGAGTCACCACTCTAACTACATCCACCGGTAAAAAGTAAAGATGACGTCTGATCTCACCATCCATCCAAACAATCACCATCACGGTCACCTCCGTCTCACCTCCACCTTACATCTCTTTTACTCCACTCTACATCTCTCTCGCTTACATTTCTTCAATGAAGCAGGATAACGATGACGCAATAAACTAACATATAATCGTAATAATTCTGACTTGACTGATTATAAAAGAAGAAAAAAGATGAGATACAATATTGACTTGTTTGCTTTCTTCAAGAGAGGCGCTATCACGAGGTATTCCAGAGGCA